GCGGTGTTGCCCGCCTGCTCCATCATCGGGGTTACCTGACATGCCACCATCACTGGGGTTACCCGCCTACTCCATCACCGGGGTTACCTGACATGCCACCATCACTGGGGTTACCTGCCTGCTCCATCAGTGGAGTTACCCACCACACCTCCATCCTCACCTTGTTTGGGTGCACGGCTCTCCGCAGATTCTCCATCCACTTGTCCCTCTCCGCTGACGAGCGACAGGAGAAACATTTACTTCCCGTTGAGGTGGTCACCTGAAACAAGTAGATGATATAAAAAATATACTAAAACTAGAAAATAAAATTCCTTTTTAGTTCTAATGCTTCTAGGGATCAATAAAGTACCATCTCATTGGATTTATTCATCACAGCATTGTTTAAGACTGAGTCGTATAGCTGGACAGTTTTCCTGAAGTCATCAAGGTTAAGTACCTTGCTTATGAGGCCTACAGCCCAGTCCCTCTGTGACTTGAACTAGCAACCATTAGGTTATGAGTGCAGCCCATTCACCCTGCCATTATTGTATAAAAACTGGACGCATTAAGCATCTACTCAATGACCCTGTAAAACTATCAGTAATACTAGCGTCACCAACAATTCTGCCCAGTGTCCTCTGTTCCGAATTAAGTGAAACAGTCGTTTCTATGGCCACTGCTAGGCCCAGATGGCAGAGGGCTGTCATTCTTACAGTCCCTAATTCCCCGTAAATGCCCTCACCCCCCGTATGCAGCAACCAAGGCAATGAACTGCATAATGCCCAGAGGTAGGGGAACGTGGTGGCCCAGCCAGGCGGGAAATGGGGTACCGGCAGGCAGCAGCCCTGGCAGCGAGCAAACAGAGCAGTGTAAACAAAGGGAGGACGAGCCCTTGGGGCTCCACCACGCTGCTCTGGCTTTGGCCATGCGACCCTCCCCCCGGGTGCCATCTCTCTTAAATTGTCAGCCAGACGACTTCAAATCAGATCCGTTCGCTCTACTGGCAAGTTTAGCCACAAGCACACATTTAATACATTTACACTAATGGGGGCCGACCTGCTCAACTGAGACGTCAACAAATATCTGTCCTGCTCTGATCCGCTTTTCACAAATACGAGAGTTCTGCCTTCAGCTGCAGCTCAACGTTTTCACACTGACACTCCCTCTGTCTCACACATAAACACTCACTTTCACACTCTGACACATAAATACTCACCGTCATGCACACACTCTTTCCCTCCCATTCACACAGTCACCCCCCCCCCCACACACACACACAGTTTTTCTGTCTCCCTTTAAAAAATATAATAATAATAGTACATTTATCAAGCACTTTTCATTAGAAAAAATCTCAAACTGCTGACATAAATTCACACATTTAAACACACTTTAACCACACACGCCCTCTCTCACTATCTCTCTCTCACACACACACAGACACACACACACACACACACACACACTGCATAAAAAGCATGGCTGCAGCTGCACAGACCTGATGGATTGGGGAGGGGGGAGGTGGCAGCCTGCGGGTGAACAGGCAGGAATAACGAGTGCCAGGGGCCCGGCAGACGTGGCATCAGCCCTGGCTCACGCAGACTGCACGCGGAAAGAAATGAAGAGGAAGAGCTGGCATAGCATAGCCAGGGAGTGAGGGGACACTGGCTATTACAGGGGCCTGGGGACAGAGCGTAGTCAGTGAGTGAGGGGACACTGTGGCTATTACAGGGGCCTGGGGACAGAGCGTACCCAGGGAGCGAGGGGACACTGGCTCTTACAGGGGCCTGGGGACAGAGCGTATCCAGGGAGTGAGGGGACACTGGCTCTTACAGGGGCCTGGGGACAGAGCGTAGTCAGTGAGCAAGGGGACACTGGCTATTACAGGGGCCTGGGGACAGAGCGTACCCAGGGAGCGAGGGGACACTGGCTCTTACAGGGGCCTGGGGACAGAGCGTATCCGGGGAGCAAGGGGACACTGTGGCTATTACAGGGGCCTAGGGACAGAGCGTACCCAGAGAGCTAGGGGACACTGGCTATTACAGGGGCCTGGGGACAGAGTGTATCCAGGGAGCGAAGGGACACTGGCTATTTCAGGGGCCTGGGGACAGAACGTATCCAGGGAGCGAGGGGACACTGGCTATTACAGGGGCCTGGGGACAGAACGTATCCAGGGAGCGAGGGGACACTGGCTATTACAGGGGCCTGGGGACAGAGCGTATCCAGGGAGCGAGGGGACACTGGCTATTACAGGGGTCTGGGGACAGAGCGTACCCAGGGAGCGAGGGGACACTGGCTCTTACAGGGGCCTGGGGACAGAGTGTATCCAGGAGCGAGGGGACACTGGCTATTACAGGGGCCTGAGGACAGAGTGTATCCAGAAGCGAGGGGACACTGGCTATTACAGGGGCCTGGGGGCAGAGCGTATCCAAGGAGCGAGGGGACACTGGCTATTACAGGGGCCTGGGGACAGAGCGTACCCAGGAGCGAAGGGACACTGGATCTTACAGGGGGCTGAGGGCTGAGCAGCAGGTGCAGCATAACTCCGAGGCCGCCTCTGCCTCCCTGCCTAAAGAGCCACCGAAACAGAGCCGACAGACTCTAGTAAAGACCAGTGTTCACATTTTGTTGTGCTCGGTTCTTAAAACAAATTCTGTCAAAACAATCTGCCCACGGATGATGTATTTATTTTTTGACATGACATGAAAAGCGCTTTCCCTCATAGTCCAGAGTGTTACATCAGTCCCCTCTTGAGTGAATTCGTCACCGACTAACGGGACGTGCAAGTGCTCGTTTGAGAGATGTTTTCTGCACTCAGAGACACTAAATTTAGCCAAGAAGGCTAAAAAAGGGACATCTTCACAGAACAGCCGTTCCTGGCCTGAATTCCTGTAGCCCGACGATGCCTAAGAAATGCCGAGGATCCAAGAGGCAGACTCTGCCTGGCCGTCTAACAAATCGCTGATGCTGTGTATGAGGCGTTTATGAAATGGGAGCAGCGGCGATAAATATTTAATGTTTTGGCCGCCAGAGTAAATGGCTTCCTCAGGCAGACACTTTTGCAGTTTTAAGATAATTGGAGGCAGACTGAGCACTGGGTCAATACAACTAACAATAAATCTTACTGGCGTATAAATGAGGCAGCCAGAAAGCAGAGAGGGGTAAATGCAGGCCGGCTCTCAGATGCAGGCCGCCAGCAGTGATCACTGCAAGCCTTAGTGTGTAATTAGGATGGGATAGATGGACTTGGGGGAGATCAGGGGACTGGTGCTGGGTGGGGCAGGTATCGGCTCACCTCGAAGCAGTAGTCCTGGCCTAAGATGCTGCTGTGAACGGGCTTAATCACCACCTCCTCCTCCATGCTGAGGTCCAGAGCTTCCACCGCACTGCTGGGGCTGAGCAAAGACTCGTGGGAGCGAGATTCCTTCAGTTTCGGCATCAGATGGGACCTGCAGTGGCAGGGGGTCAGAGAGATGAGCATGGAGGACAGCGGTGCAAGGCCTGCATTTCTGTTATGCCGAACCAAAATACACGCACACACAAACACACACCTGTACTCATAACTTTGTGGGGACTGTCCATTCATTTCTATGGGCAAAGCCCTAATTCCAATCACAACACTCTTATTCCCGACCCAGCCATAACATTAACCATAAGTAACTAAACAAAATACAAGACTTTTGGCATTTTTACTTTTTTTATTGCATCCACAGTATTTTATAAAGTTGAGCTTATCCAAATAGGGACCTGAAAAATGTCCCCAAATGTAAGGTAGTTTGAGGTTTTACCACACTTTGGGGACATTTTGGTCCCCAAATGTGATCTACACAAACCCACCCACCCACACACACACACACACACAACCTCCATTCGTCTTTCCAAGACACCGTAGGGGTCACCTGTCAGTCTCTATGGGATTCTATAGGAAGAGAAGCATTTGAATTCAGAACTTCTGAGCATCTTATATTAAACCCATTGAGCACATGATCTACAGTAAATCCGCTGTTTGCATACTAACTATTAGATATGTCAGAAGCCCCAAATGGCTTGTTTAGTGCAGATAACAATCTGAGATCTGCCTGCATCGTAACAAGCCGAGTCCAGGGCTGCCTTTCCCAAAATCTTCGTCGTGCTGCGATCTTCATCACTTCAGAAGTGCCCGGTGGGGCGGGCAGACCCACGGACAGATTAGCTTTCTGGGCTAAGCCCCTGATGTCATAAGATCCCAGCACAGCCCCTGTTAACCGAACAGCATGTACAGCAGCAGTGATGAGTTAAAAACAAGAGCAACAGACTTGAATTAGTTAATAGATCAGTTGAGAGAGAGGACAGGAGTCACAGCTGAAATAAATGTACAATGATCAAATGCAGGGCAGTAAGGCCTCCCTGACAGTCAGGTGACAGTACGCTTCTACAAATGTATTTGGCATCGACAGAAAACTCATTGATGAAGCACTGACAGTGTCTCTTTAAGGGTGAGAAAAGGAGCGCTCTCTCTCTCTCTCTCTCTCTCTCTCTCTCTCTGTCCAGGAGAAAATGCTGAGCAGCTATGCTTCCTGGGATCATCTGCTTGGGATTATTAGTCACTTTGGCCAAAGAGCCGCTAGTGATCTATTGGGAATGGAGATATTTTATTACACCACACAAAAAAAACTTCAGTGTGTGAACACAGTTAATTTGTATGGTGCTTTTGTTAAGCAGAGCAGACAATGAACTTTACATTTTCTTCTAAGAGTTCTAAAATATCGGCTGGGCCCTGATGAACAGCATGGAATAAAAAAATGTAACGAAACAGGGAAATAACAGACTGGGATTCAGAGCTTTTCATTGAGAGAATTAATTGACAGCAAGGGTCAAAGGCATAAAATAGGCATACATTGCGATTAGTATGTAAACTGATTTGTTATAAAAGGTTTGTGCAAATTGTGTGAAACGATCTACATTTCTGTGCGTTTCGACCCACCCTTTCTTATTAAGATCAGGGTATTGATGGTGCAGTGCTGTATCCAGGGAGAGATCAGGGGATACACACAGTGACTGCAGCCAGGGAGAGATCAGGGGATACACACAGTGACTGCAGCCAGTGAGAGATCAGGGGATACGCACAGTGACCACAGCCAGGGAGAGATCAGGGGAAACACACAGTGACCGCAGCCAGGGAGACATCAGGGGACACACACAGCGACTACTGACAGGGAGAGATCAGGGGATACGCACAGTGACTGCATCCAGTGAGAGATCAGGGGATACGCACAGAGACTGTTGACAGGTGCAGTGATGGCCAATTTTTACAGTAAATAATTTGAAAACAGAAGTGATATGGACATGGTACCAGCTGCCTCTGCCAAAGCTTGTCTGTAGCATGGCTCACACCTAATACACAGTTTTATGGAATAACACACGTAAAATATGCTTAAACCGCTTAACACCTTTCCTTACTGGTGCAGTGTCAGTGATTTCTCAGGGATTTCAAGTCAAGCCCAGAGCTTCCGAGAGCATCGTTCAGCTTGTGCCATTTTCTTACAGCTCTTCTGAATTGTTAAAGCACATTTGCTGAAACCTTCCATTCTTTTCTCAAAACAGTAAACACCAAACCCAATTTTCAAACTACATCCACAAAACCTTTGATTCGTTGTGAAACTATTTTATCTTTGCTCAAAACCAAACATTGCTTTCAGATCACACAATAAGCCATTCTACATAAACACTTACACACTGCAGAAAAAATTTAAAACAATATCAGTCAAAACTATGTTTAGATGTTTGCAAGAATGTGTTTGCACAATTATACTTAAAGCAATGTGGAATGTTTGCAGCATTCAGTACATTCAGACACTGAGACCTAGTTAGTCAGCAAATGCAAAAAGTATAATGTTAATGTCTTACCCAAGACAAACACACTTGTGCATTAAGATGTGATTCTTTATGGTTCTAAAAGATATCTTAAATGAGTTCATTTCCGCAAGTCTGTTTATTAAACGTAGGTTGAGATGGTGTCACAAAATGCCGGGAACCTTCAATCTTAAACCGAAAAGGAAGCATCCCAAGTCTCCAATGAGAAGCTCTTCTGTTGCACAAAACGAAATGTTAGGAGAAATGCTCTTAATGAAACAGGACCGGGGTGGGGGAGTCTGCTAACGGCGGCGACAGTCTGCAGGCAGCACAAAGCCGGGACACAATCCCTCCGCGCCCAAGCCGACGTGGAGCGACTGCGGTGACCTGCGACTTCAAGCTGTATGCCGGAAAGGATGCTGCTGCCATATTGCTGCTGAAAGAGCATCAATTATTTCCTCTCTTCTCCTATGATAACAATAATGGAAGCAGCAGTGAGAGTCTGAGCCTTGAAAAGGTTTAAACTTAGAAAAAACAAGTGCTTAGCAATGCTTACCTGCATTTTCAGCTTTTTTTTGTGGCCCTTAAAGTTACAAACACAGCACAGCACTAGGAAATATTCTCAAAAGGATGATTCTTCTTTTCTGATAAGATCCCATTAGAAGCTTGGGTACATGGAAGAGGACAGGAAGACATTCAACCTTGGGGACGGACAGCCATTATGTAAATAACCTGACTATTTTATTTATCTCCTTGCAAACTCAATATCATGACCTTCAGCACAGCCCAGACCGATGGTTCCTAGATGGTTCTGGAATCAGGAGAGTTAAGTGCCTCTTAGGCTCTGGCTGTCAGACTTTCCCAGCTCATCTTTGCCGCCCATCTAATTAAATCGGACTTATTATCACAATCTGTAAGTTCCTGTTTCAGCTGAGCCAAGCAGACAGCGCCCGCTTCTCCTGTCTCATATCTTGTGGGCCCCGGAGTGGAGGTAGGGGGGTCTGAGGGGATGCAATCTGGTGGCGGTGCAGGCAGACAGCGCGTGGCCTCCGAGAAGGCCAGCATGGAAGATGAACATCCAGCAATCGGGAGGAATCACAAAATTAAAGAGCGGTGTCTCTGTGAGCACGGGCATGGAAGATGGAATGCATTACTAGCAGAGTTACGGCTGTATGTGGAGCAAAACCTGCAACGTTTTACTGATCCATATGCAACGATGATACGGTTATTCCCTATGTGCAGATCACACTGATTTAGAGCTGATTACAGTCATGTTTATATTCATGAATATAATCATGTACATGAAAATCAAGGGTAAAAATTACTATGGTTTTCCACATTTATATTCCAAAAAAATATTTCTATGGACTACAGAGAGAGAGGATGAGGCAAGAAGTTTTGGGAGTTTTGGGAGTGTGAGATTAGATATACACCGATTCCTGCCTGTAATGCATTGTATTCTCAGAGGTCAGATTCCACACGGTGAACCAGCATCACCACGTCGCCATTTCAGGTCTGAGGTCGGAAAGCCCAGACAGGTAGACACAAAGTGCCAAGACGTCACGCCTTGCTGGAACCAGCAGAGATGTTTGGTTTGGGTTCCAGCTTGCTGTGCTCTTCCAGTTTGATAAGGTGACACTCACCAGCCAAAGCTCACTGGATCACCTTAGTTAAATAACGGTGATGTATATCCATCATATCATATGAAAATATATAGGGCAAATTAGCCATTTTAAAAACAGACTTGTTCATTTTGTGATACTTTTCTCATTTTTGAAAACATTTTTCTCCACTATAAAAATATTTAACATACAATGCAGAGTTTTAATTGATTTCTCATACTTAAACAGACTCACATTTAGCACTGAATATTTAGGCATCACAGAGGATCTGCAGTAATGCAAAGTAATTCAGCCGCTGAAAAACATCAGTATCTGCATGCAATAATCCATAAGACGTGCTAAAAAAAGTTCCCTGCCAGCAGTAGAGAGGAAGTGGATGAAATCATCCTCTTCATTCTTTGCTCAGAAGTCAAGAATGAGTAGGTCCTTCAATACACGGCAATTCAAAGGTGCATCAGCTGGAGCTAGCTAATTTCATGAATAACCTTTTCACTATTTTATATTTACAGCATTTTCATGTTCTCTGAAGACTGCGCCTGTACAAACCGATTTTTTAACAAGGCAGAAATATACAAGTTACACAAGAGTACGTGTTATGGTTCAGAATATAATTAAATGTCACTGATATCAAATAAATCATTTGTAATCAGACAGCAGGCCTCTAATTTCAACACGGCAGTAGCTATCAGGGTAAACGGGGGACAAAATCTTATTAACCTCTTCATTTTAAAACATAAACGAGTTCTGAGAAATAATGTACTTTAGCCTGAGATATGTAAGAATCTGACCACTTAAAAGGTCAGACCTTAATTAGAATTCAGCACTTTGCCATTTGAATCTTCTGAAGAACATCTGGTGTGCATACAAGAAAAGAAGAAGGAACTTGAATGAGGTACTTGTGGTATTCAAGACTCCACCACTTGTGCATCTGATGTAAACACATGAGGAATGGGGCTTCGTGGGCAGCTGGGGGTTCTAACGCAGCTAGCCAGTTT